AATATCACGCGACTCCAAATTTTCTCCAACAACAACAACTGATATTTCGCTAACTGTAGGTGCATTATATTGTCTTTCATGAGTTCCTGTTGGTCTCTTGTCCGCATGTATGATTATGCTATGATCATCTGTTGGCATACGTTCCAACGAAATCGTAAACAGTTTGATGAGGTCATTTTGGTCGTGTAACATTTGCTGCAATTGATCGATTATTTCTCTTTTCGTTGCATTGAAGATAGTACAACGTCATCATGTGAATCTCCCAGAAAGTAAATTTGGAGATATTTGTGTTCTTGATCTGGATGCGGCAACAGCGATCCAGCGAGATGAAAAATTTGCCCATGAACCTGTATAATTGGAGGAAAGTTCTGTAGTTTCTGTCAAGTATTGGGCTTAGTAAAATTACCTTAAACGTTGGATTGTAGTTTTGTTTATTTACAATTTCACCGCCAAACGACGTCATTTGAAAACAATCGTTGTACATTTTAGTGTGCTGTAAGAAATGCCTCGAGTTGGGAGATTCACCGTAAAGCAGCTGGAACAATGGCTCTGGTGGTGGAAGCAATTCTGGCAACTTAACCTTTCCCCCCGCGCAACATAATCCTGGCGGTTCTTTTTGAAATTTGACTACATTGCAATGTTGACAAACTACTGACATTTGACCGATTTGAACAGATGCGCTATATTGAATGTTTGGCTCATATCGAAAGCCTGACCGTTCAGTGTTCACCAAAGAAACTTGTTGTTGCCGCTGTTGTCGTCGAATAATCGCATGTTGTGATCTTACTTCATCACTTTCGCGAGCACGAACTTCCCTTCTTCTCAATCGTTCTTGCTGATTGTGAACTTCCCTTCTTCTCAATCGTTCTTCCTGATTGTAAGTTTGGTTTACATCTTCTAACTGATGCGCACGATTCTCCAGCAGTCTATTTCGAGCTGATACCCTCTCAATAACACTTTCCCTTTCTGTTTGACGGGCTCTGAAATTTCGTATTCTCCTTCTGCTGTGAGAATTCCGACCAATGTTACCATGCACATTGATTCTTGGCATCTTAACAAATATCTAATTGGAAATGATCATACATTTGCATACAGCTCACATAAGGTTTTACCAACCGTTAACTTACCTTTGAAAAATCCAAAAATGAGCTAACCCAACTAAGGAAAAAGATGCAATTTAACGATAAACTATATATAGTCCAATGTAAATAGATATTCGCCGACACACTAAATCACTTTTACCAATTCACTCACTTTTTTAAACGAAATATGAATGAAACCAGTCAGAAAATTATAATCCACACATTCGCTATTTTTTATTTCGTAAATGTAAACTATTTAACACGAAAATATGCAATTGGACGATAAACTATGTATCTATTCCAATGTAAATTGGTATTCGCCGACACACTAAATCACTTTTTTAAACAAAATATCAATAAAACCGCTCAGATATTGATAATCCACACATTCGCAACTGTTTATTTCGTAAATGTAAACTATTTAACACGAAAAGCTACCGCTTCAATTATTACATTAGAAATAATATTGTAAGCTGTCAAATGGAATGACCGCCTACTACGCTCCAATTTATTTTCACTGAGTATTGGCTATTTTAAGTAAGTAAGTAAGAGTATTGATATAGTATACCTCCATAATGGTTTTCAGGCCCCTCCTCCAACCCTTTTAGATATATTCAGCCTCAAAAGTTTAGTACGTATGGGAGGTGCCATGCCCCATTTTTCGATAAATCTTTTTTTTTGGGTGAACATGGTATTGAGATCGTATATCTGCATAGTGATTTCTATGTACATGCCATGAACGCTTTTAGGGATATTTAGCCTTAAAAATTAAGAACGCATGGGAGGTGCCACGCCCCCTTTTCCCAAAACTACTGTTTTTTTCATAAGCATGCTATTGATATCGTTAATCTCCTGATCAATTTTCAGGTCCCAACCTTAAACGCTTTTATAGATATTCAGCTTGAAAAATTAAGTTTGTATGGGAGGTGCCATGCCCCCTTTTCCGATAACCCCCACTTTTATGCGTGGGAATGGTTTTGATATCATTTAGCTCTATACCAATTTTCAGCTCCCTACCTTGAACTCCTTTAGAGATAATCAGCTTGAAAAATTAAGATTATATGGCAGGTGCCACGCCCCCTTTTCCGATACCCCCCACTTTTTTGCGCAAAAATTGTTTTGATATCATATAGCTCTGTACCAATTTCCAGGTCCCTGCCTTAAATCCTTTTAGATATTCAGCTTGAAAAATTAAGTGTGTATGGGAGGTGCCACGCCCCCTTTTTCGATAACCCCCACTTTTATGCGTGAGAGTGGTTTTAATATCATTTAGCTCTATAGCAATTTTCAGGATCCTGCCATTTATTCTTTCTGATATATTCAGCTTCCAACGCTAAGTATGTATGGGAGGTGCCACGCCCCCTTTTCGTATAACTCCTATTATTTTGCGTTAATATGGAATTGTTATCGTTTATCTCCACACCAATTTCCAAGTGCCTACCTTAAACAATTTNTCTCTTTTCTGATAACCCCCACTTTCCTGCGTGAGAAGGGTTTTGATATCACCTACCTCTATACCAATTTTCAGCTCCCTACCTTGAACTCTTTTAGAGATAATCAGCTTTAAAAATTAAGATTGTATGGGAGGTGCCACGCCCCCCTAATATTTTTTAATTTTTTCTTCGACTAAACCTTCGCGGGGTAACAACAAACAAACCCCCCTAAGGAAGTATTTGATTTGGTTCAGCCGTTTTCAAGTTTTAGCGTTACAATTAAACACCAAATCATTTTTAAATATATAGATGCTTGTTTTGCGGGCGCCAGAAGCAGAAGGATTTTTTTACTTCTTGGGCTGAGGCTGACGACCTTTTTGAAAAAAATCAAATGGTCGGATGGAATCATTTGAAGCCCAAATATTATACTATAGTATTGGATGTCAGCATTTTATTATATTGACGTTCTGGAACTCCAAGCTTGAAATTTATGTATTTAATATCCTTCGAACTAGTATTTTTCTTAATAGCCCTGATAGACATGGTTTATATACCATACTAGCAATTATACTACACGTCTGTCGTTGTAAACCACAATTATACCATCGTACAAAGTGGTTTAAAGCTGGTTCCTATACTACGAAAATTAACGTGGTTTAAAGCTGGTATACCATGAAACACAAATCGTGGCAAAGAAAAAGAACGATTATTATTAATCAGCTTTTAAATACTGATGCGATTATTTGGAATTCAAACAATGAAAACAGAAAGAATGTGAGAGAATGGGTTGGGTCCCAGGCTAATTTACCAAACATATTTTTTGCTACGAATGTGCCTCGAATTCGACGTTTCCACAAGCGTAGAAGGAAGGAGAACTTCTGGTGGACGCTGCAGCAGCCAGAAAATGATGAGTGCTTCATCGAAGCTTTCCGTATGAGTAAAAAATCGTTTCTACTGCTTTGCGAAAAACTGGAGTGCTTTCTTAAAAACGATTGCGTGCCATGTATCACTCCACCCCTTGCTATAGAGAAGCAAATAGCTATTTGTTTATATAAATTGGCTTCCTGTGGAGAATACCGAGTTATTGGTGATGTCTTTGGTGTGCACAAAAGCACTGTTCACAAATATTTTCACCTCGTCGTGAACGCGTTAATTCAGCTAAAAACAGAGTTTATCAAGTTTCCACAGGTGGGAGATGCGTTATTAATTGCAAGTGAATTTGAGAAAAAATCGCATATACCAAACATTATTGGCGCTATCGATGGTAATTTTAACCAATCTGAATGCTTATATGCATATCCATACATAACTAAATCTCTGGAAATTAAACATTTTAGGAACCCACATACCGATCTTGCCTCCAAGTCAAGGATACCAAGATTATATTAATAGAAAGGGGTGGCCTTCCATCGTAATGCAAGGAGTGGTGGATAGCAACTACATGTAAGTATATGCATGAATATGTAAATAATTAGAACCAATGGGAAACATTTTCACATTGTTACTTTAGTAAAATAAATAATTTGTTAAAGTACCAATATTATATAACGATATATTGTAAAAAAAATACATTTTTTTATTACCAAAGGTTCACAGACGTCAGCGCTAAGTTACCTGGAAGCACTCATGACGCGACGGTTTTTAAGGAGTCGGGATTGTTTAAAAACTCATCGACATTAATTCCGAGGCATCCAAAATTAATATATGGTGTTGAAACGCCACTATTTCTTATTGGAGATCCTGCGTATCTACTTCTTCCCTGGTTAATAAAACCATACACTGGAAGTTTGAATGCAGCCGACGAATCTTTTAATTGCCACTTGAGTTCTGCTCGAATAGTCGTCGAAAATG